AAATGCAAGGCAACCTGTGGTGAAATAATGTAACAAAAACAACCTTTTACAAAATATTAAGATAATTTGGTCACTAAATACGTTGGTTTTAGCAGTTCGCTGAACTTTCAGGATTGCTGCCACCAAAATAACTTTCATCACCACTTGCTGAGCTATTTAAATATCTTGAGAATAAACAAATTTCCTGGAGTATAATAATATTGTATATTCTCATTTATACCCAATTTATTTCTTTTCTTTTATTATATTGACCGATTTCGCATTCAAATTGCTATACTGAAAAAATTCTTAATAAATCCACTTGGTCTCTAGCATCCTGAGATGAGTTTTCTTTTATTCTGAAATGTTAGTAATTGCCGTAATAGTAAGCAACGTATATGTGATTTCGTGTTAAGTTATTAATCTGATCATGATCGTCTTGCGATAGACACCACCGGTACAACGTGAACTTTTTATCACGTCGCGTGCTTGTCGAGTGGACGGAGCGGCAATCCTCGAAAATTTATCAGCCGGTTATGTCGTACGGCATTATAACTTCTATGTGGGCCGCGTCAGAACTACGAGTGCGCCGTCGCCCGCCGCGCGTATCATTTGCTTGACGATCACCGAACAAACCGTACGCCCATTGTGATCAACGCCGCTCCCGCAACTAGTTTCACGGACGATCAGCTGTTTAGTTAAACGACACACTAGCCGGCATCCACAAACACTAACGGATATTCCCCCGCTGTAATCTATCAAACAGCACCATGGTAAGGATCAGTGATACCAGTGACATAGTGACAAAATGAAAGAAGAGTGAATAATAATTGTGCCTTTCATTCGAGTGCCTGTAATTGACTCCAATTCACGATTCGTACAAAGATTTTCGAATACATTCGCGACCACTAGTGTTTCTCAGTAATAAACAGTGGTGTACGTAAATCATATACAACATATCAATAGCAAAAATTTCCACAGCAGCCAACACGATTTAAATTTCAATATACACTTTAAAATGTAAAGAGGAATCGATTTGTCTACCTTCTATTCAAATTTATCAATCCTGTAAATGCTACCGTACGTTTGTTAAATGTTTACCATTTTCATGTTACGTTTCAAGTTTGTAGTGAATTTATTTATTCGGGTGGTGCTAAATATGCAATTTAAATCGATCCATCCTTAGAAGGAAAGTCGGATATAGTATTGAAGGATGCGCATGTTGCATCTTGTAATGTTGCGGTTACAGACTGACGTGCTCATCTTGTTTGTGAGTCGAACTAAAATTAGCGAAGTTCGTCCCCCGCGCGGAGCTTACATAATCGCGCCACGGCGGCGGCCTTGACTCCCGCGCCGGTTCTCATTAACCATTGGCAGAATGATACCTCGATTTGCCTAAAACACTTGACAAAATGATTTTCTTTAACCTCACAAACGTTTCGTAGTTTATATATACGCACGTTGCTTTTACTATTTCTGATTGTGAGAATCCCTTTAATGTAATAGTAATGAAAAGCTTTACGTTACACAAATGTATCTTTTCAATTATTAGATATATGCTTTAAATTCAACGGTTAAATCCAATTATTGGAAATTAGTCACGAAAAAATTAAAATTTATTAGCATGTTATATTAATTCTTTCATTCTTACACTTTCACGTTCGTAACTTGTCGCATCTCATCAGAAATTATGTTAATTTCGTCTACCTTTCCAATTCCCTTTAACGTTTAACGGGGTAATGGTTTATTTGTATTGAAATTCTGGCTTGCATCATGGTCAGTATTTACTTTACGATGACTTGCATGTCTCTATGCTAACAATAAACTGCTGCGATTCGCTTATTTTCGTTTATGAATACGTTGGAAGATATGACGGTATGGAGTATTTTTCCTTAAAGTGCTGCCATCGTTATAAACTGTTTTTTACCATTATGTGTTTTGTTTTTTATTACGCGGTATCTAATCTGCATCGTCCTTAAACCATTACCGTATAGTCTGACAATCTTTTGATATATCATAACTGGTTTTCTTATAAACGATTTTGAAGAATTGTTAAACTTTAAAATTTTGAAATAAACTTGGAAATTTAAAATATCAAATTGGTGTAGCTGATTTGAAACTGTAATCGATTTATCTTATCTTATTTAAGCATAGCAGTGAATGCAAAATTTATAAAATTCAATAATTTAATCAATTTATTCTAAAATATCATTTCTATTTCATGCTTTGATTATAGCGAAAACCATGTTCATTGCTGACTTTAAATTTATCTTATCAATTTATCGCTAATCTATTACATTAGTTAGAAGTTACCTTGTAAACAAACAAAGAAGTTAAAAATATAAAAGAAAGACCCATGATGAGGCCCTCATTTATATTTACAGAGTGATTTAATTATATTTATTATATAATTCACTGGGTGTTTTCTCGCGACTACGGCCACTTAAATTATAACCTATCACCCAGTTGCACAAACATCCATTGAAACTATCATTAGTTTAAAGTGACATGAACAATACGAATTTTCTAATGAAAAACTTTCATTAGAGCTTAAAGTCTGTATTAAACCTTAATTGACCTACCTTGAATAATCTTTTGTGCGACTCAATCTTTGGCACTTGCATATAAGTAGTTTCCAGTAGGAATTTTCACAAGATCTCATTACAAGTGCAAAAAATCTATTCGAATTTGGAATATTGTAATTTTCGTTTTTCTCATGTCAGTGTTAGTTATAATAATAAATCAAATGCAAAGTAATTTTCAATAAATCAGCGCACATTACTCATTTATTCTCAATAAAAATCAATATTCTTTTTAGAATTACTGATAAAGTGTCGAACTAACGAAACCCATCAAAACTTATATTATTTATTTACAAATTTTATGGCATTTGTTTTAACATATACTCACGAAGATAAAAAATAAACATCTGCTATGTTTTATTCAATCTCTTCATAATTTGCCATAGACTGATCATACAAATAGGGTAGTATGTTAGGAGTACAAAATAGCAATTTAGGCGACACGCAGCGTAATATTATGATGGATCACCAAATAACATCGGAACGCCTTCGACCCTGACAGATGTAATTGTTGAATTGTGCCGGTGCCGGGCCGGTGGATTTACGGCCAAGGTCGCGTAGCTGTCTATCACATGCCTTTCAGCAGAGCCATTTGTTTGGCTTCTTTGAGCAAAATATTCGGTTCGTTTATTATAGTTGTTTAACCGGAATAGTGACAAATATGACCAATCCCGATAAAAGGTTTTTATCCCATCAAAGTACTACGTAAATTTTTTTACATTTGTATTTATAACAGCTGTTTTAATTTAATGATTGATTTTTTAATAATTTGTTCTCAATCTGAAAACATTTTCTCCAAAATTTAAAATTTAATTTAGAATACTGATCCGTCTTATCAGTTCTCAGGTGAATTTCAATCATTTAATACAGTGATTTTTATCTCTGTCGCTTCGTAAGTTAAGAGATATTTAACTTCCTTTTGTGACAAACGCACAAGAGTGGGTTCGGTACTCCAAATAGGCTGTTCGGAATTTCTGGCTCGCAATCAATAAGGAACCCACCGCATGTTGGGTTGCGCGCGCAACTCCGTACTCTGAATGGCCGTAGATACATGGGGATTTTTCATTAGGGAAGGACAGCAAGGTCGCACTTACTACCATTCCTATATCCCTTTCCCACTCGACTTCCTGATGTATAACTGTCTCGAGCCAACAGATTCACTTTCTAAAATAACGCATCATCGCACCGACTAAATAAAACACACCTCTCGACCGTCTGGTTCATAGTGAGTCGGCAGTTTTTTAAATGTTTGTATCATTGTATCGTATTACAATGAGATGAGAAGTCAGGATGTTTCAACTGAATAATTTTCTTTTTATTGTTTTTTATATTGTCGAAGAGCCATTATCACGATCGATGTAAGTCGTATAAAATAAATTTTCGCGTAGCAGTAAAATATTTTTTAAGTAATTGGCTGCTTACAGCTGCTTCATCAGAAATATAATAAACCCTTATTATATTTACTCAATTTTTTATTGAAAAATGCTTATAAAAGAAGTCGCCCGAATTGCGAGTCATGGGTTCGAGTCCCGTTCAGTTCCCATTCTTTATTTCAATAAGAATATATATTAATCCTCTTATCTCTTATCCTCTATCTTTGTTCTTGTCCTACTTTAAGCTCCTTTTTGACGATTGATTGTAAGTTCAATGAAAACTTAAACTTTTGGATTATCAACGATATATTAATTATCTGTGCTTGGTACGCTTTGTAATCAATTTTTATTGGTTTCAAGATCATTGACGTAAATGTTTCTTTAGTAAAACTTTGGGTCATCAGATCAATCAACAGCTAATTAAGTTGAGAATATTTGTGGTAACGCCAACAGATAACTGCTGTTTATTATCACATTATCCACTGTCATCCCAGAAGCTATTCAAATCATTGTCAGCTCCTCCGGTGGACGCACGTTATTTTCTTAGTTGCCGCACAGTTGATAATTTAGCAAGTAAACTATTTCTATCTACCATTCATTGACATGTTTGTTATTTCAATTTATCTTAATAAATTAGCGCTTTAAGCCACAATTTATTATGATTGTGAAAATTTTATGAGTATATCGTAAAAACAAAAATTATTACATATTTATTTTATTTTTATTGAGACCATCGGCACGGCACAAGTAGCCCTTGTCAATTCATCTACGGGTTAGCCTTGAATATTGTTGACTGATTACACGCCATTGTGTGCTTTGCAACACGTCTCCGTACGTCATATCTAGCTTGCCTATGTATTTTCTTTACACATCCCTCTTCCTCACTCACATGTTAAAACAATTAGCATTTCAGCATTCAATTCTCTGTCTACTAATAACCATGCAGTTTACATAATTATTTTTTTACGGCACGGCACTCGTAACATATACGTTACGTATGTATGAGACATATGGCAGATCACGAGTTGTAGTTATGTGTCTATGTAGTTTTTTTTTTTGTCCACAGCGGTATCGAGTGCAAAGATGAAGTGTTTGCTACACACCAAGTCCAGGATGTGGACCTGAAACCAAACGTGGGTCCGACTTCTGTGACCGCGTCCACGTTGCTGTCGGAGCCAATCTGTGTTTCTATTGAAGAACCCAGTACCCCTGTGGTGGCCTTAATAGCACCCGACGAAGAACGCCCAATACCTGTTACTGAGTTAATATTCGCGCCACGAAAGAAAGAAATGAATAAAGGATTTCTCATGTTCTCACCAGACGAGGGTCATACAAGTGAGTGGCATTGGCAGATCAACTATGGAGTCATCCTTTGTTTAATATTTTGTTTTGTCTATACAATGTTTTGTATCGCTTTCAGTGCTTAAAGACGAGCCGGAAGATCTGACTCACTTGGCACCCACAGCCGGTGACACGTGCATACCTCTGGAGAATAGCCCTTTCGATATGTTCGATGAGTTTATGTTGAATGACAACTACTGCAGCCTTTTGGGTGATGATTTGACTAATGCGTCGCCAGTAGATTCTCTGACACCGGAATCATTTTTGTTATCTTCGCCCGAGCCACAGGTGGTTATTAATTGTTTCTTGTTATAACAGTTAATAGAGTTGAGGACCTTTTCATATTTATCCACTTAATCAAAATTTTCTTTCTAAATATATATTTCTTTTTTAGGAAACTGAATCGTCATGTGAACAATCGTCATTATTAACAGAATTATCATTAGACGCATTTGACAGTGGCAGATCAGACAATGACATTGACGATGGACATTCGCCTTTCATACCGATGAACGATGAACGTCCGGTACTGGAGCCAGCAGTAATGTGGGGTGCATTGCCAGATAATGTTAGTCAAGCTCGACCCCAGCCTTCTGAAATGCAACCGGTAACTGGTGCGCCAGCGTTACAACAGTTATTAGCGGCTCCTACAACGGGCCCGCCTCCACAGGATCTCATTACTAATATTTATTCAGATCAAGGTACAACACATAATACATAAACTGCGTTGCAGTTGTTACGAAATTTCGTCGACTACTTTCGTATTTTCGGTTTTAGGTCTAATACCCTGTAGAAGTATGCCTTCTTGGGATACTGGTGTCAAAAGAGTGATGAAGCAAGAGGAAGAACCGAGTGCAAAGCGAGCAAAACGTAGTCCCTCACCAGCGACGACAACTTCGCCGAAGCAACAGTCTTCCAGCGTCCTCATGAACCTACTGGTGAGCGGCTGCGATGTTGACGCCGGCTACATCTGCATGGTGCAGTGTCGGCCACGGCCAAAGGCCAAAGCCTGAGAAGCTCATCCACCAAACCATAAACTGTGATAGGACACATTCAGTGTTCACTCGATATTGCTTCTATATCCCCCGTGCTTCTCGAAACTCCTCGGATCGAATTTAACATAGAATAAAATAAATCAGTGCCGTCAAAACATGTGATATTACATACTTAACAGTGACAAAGTCGCTGTCATCGAGTGTAAATGAAGTCATAATAAAGACAATAAAGTCGATTCGATTACCGCAAAAGCAATAACAAACCAGCCGGCCGGTGCCGCGGTAGGTCGGGATATCAGCAAGTCTTGCAATCTCGCGCTTTCGTCATTGATGACGTAAAATTAGATTTATTTAATTTATAGCCGCATCTCATGGCGATATGGTGTATAATGGCGAAGCAATTGTTCGTGTAGACATTTGATTCTAGTGCTTAAGTTTAACGTACGCATATCGTGGTGGTTATGTGATCGTCGATTCGTTCCTATAGGGTACTTAGTTACCGTGGCCGCACACCAGTCTTATGTTGTAGTTAGAGCGGAGTCAATAATTGTTATAGATTTTATGGTTTAATTCTCATAACTTTCGTTTGCGCTATTTATTTGTTATAGTAAAACACGCTTAGTTTGTTATATGTATTTTTTACATCGAGGTATATTTAGAACTTACAAAGTCAATCGATCGAGTTACTGATAATTATTTAGTATTCGTGAATCATTTTGTACATATGTTCGGGATTGAAATTCTGTGTAGTATTGTAGTTTGGACAAGGATTTGTTTATTAATGAATGCGTAAAATGTTCCCACTGCCAAATGATACAAAGTACAACTTAAAATAATGAATTTTTTATATGATTTTGTTAATGGAGAACCTTTTAATAAACTATAGATTACAATAGACGAACAGTTTATAATGTATTTTTTAATAACTTGTTATTGTCATTGATCTTTATAAAGTCATTTTATAGCATGTAAGTTACAAGAATAAGACATAATATGCGTTGATCTTTGTCTTTGAAAATTTTAATTATGAAAGACTCGTGTGTCGATAGACATATGGATTTATCGTTTGTTAAAATTTACATTTTAAGCAGATGTGTAATTATTAGAGAAATATTTTTCTTGGGAAAAAAATAGATATTGAAATCGATGGAAATAATATATATAAATTAACAGAAAGAAACTATTTAAAATATATAGTACTGGTAAAAAGGTGCAAGTTGATTTCTTTACCCTGTTCCATTATCCCCACAACACTACCCCTGTAATAGCTTTGACCTTAATTGAGAATATCCATTGTTAAAATTTAAAAAAAATATATATTTCTACATTTATCTGAGTATATTAAAACAAGTTACAAAAGAAAGTTAACGACAAACGACAACACGTTTTCAATTTTCAACACCAATGCCACTTTTGATTATGAAAAATTATGCTGTGATCGAATTATGCATATTAGTATTATCTAATCTATGGCAACATATGAATAATTAGTTAGCAGTTACTATTGCCCACGTCACAATAGACATACTTACAGAATGTGTAGCAGAAACGTGGATATCGTTAAACGTATACACGTGAACATCGGTTAATAGTAAACAATAATTCACGTGATTGAATCCGGCTGCACTGTGTTATAATAATAGACGTAAAATCCATGGGAGGCCGTGGAAATAGTCGCGTGCCAATATAGTATCGAAAGGGGAAACTTTTATTGGTATCGGCTACTGACTAGATTCTTTATAACCTTCATAAACTATTTTATTTAGCATGAACCGATGGAGCACTTTTAATATGGATTTGGATATATTCTTAAGCGGTCAGTGATCAATAAAACAGTATAAAAGTTTCGTACAATTATAGAATGAAAGGGCTCCCTGAAAGATAATGTAAATTAAGCAAAGTCAATTTTAACATTGTTAATTTACATTTGTCACAGAAGCTCGGTAAATTGTTTTCTATAGGACAATATCTATAGAAAAAATCTCTCCCGGTCTTCCCCCAGTGGTTTACGACTGTCCCAGGATAGTATAAAGTACGTTGACTTTCAGAACTCCACGTTTTATTCCCATCCCCCCAGTTGCGAAGTAAAATGGCGCTCCGCAACATTTAACGTTCAGCCTCGATTCTCTGTTTTTGTAAGATTTGATCTCATAAAGAATTTTTGAAATGTTGTCTCCTGATGCGTATCTCTTTAGATTGACATCACAAAAATTAACCTTAAAAACAAGGAAATTATGGAAATATGTACATAAACAGAAAATGTTTTTATACAATTCGTAGGAATACAAGTATTAAATATTGCCAGCTGTTTTATATTGAAATAAACTCACATATTAAAATATACACAAAACTTTAATAAATACACCAACTCATACGGTTGTGAAAACTGCATGAAAATTAGACCGGTAAATATTCAGGTTATCGCGTTCAGACGTCTTTGTTCCATATGCAAGGATAGTTAAGTAAATTAAAAAAGAAAAACATAGTAACTAGTAACTATGCTGTTTTCATTGCAGCGTTCAAGTTGTCATCGAAATAACGATCAGCTTTCACCGACTGGTTTCAATGTTCTTAAAACCAACGGGTTTTCATTGTGTGTAATCATAGTTGCAACATCAAAGATAAAATTACCACACCTGTTTATATGTTTACGTAATGATAGGATTAACTACTTGATCGCACATAGAACATTAAACTCATTCAATTACTAACCGGCGGAACATCTTATCTAATAAACTTGACGCTTTGATATGAATAATCTAGATTTCCATGTAATACCTACAGTGAAAAGTGTCTGCAGGTTTATTAATAGAAATAAAAACTCGATATTTCTAGATAACACGTTAAAAGGGAAAAAGTATTACTTATGTCTATTCCGTGTGTTATGCCAATAGTACTAGCAACTGAACCAAATATTTGTGTGAGCAAACATATTTCAGTCAACAGCAATCGACCTACCGAACTAAGTTTTATAGCTTAGCACTAATTATTTAGATGCGGGCTCTTATAGGGGCGACAACCTACTAGTTCACTTATCGCTGTGAAAAACAATTTCTTTTGGAACAGCACTTAGTCACGTCACTTGAACGCCTTTTATAAATGTAATCATTTGTATTTCTTTCATTCCGTTTCTAACAGAATGATCGAAGACTCCGAGATATCTTTATCCAGCAATAATGGAATACCGTCGAGTTTTAATTAAAGTCCTTTATGAAACATGTTATTACAGAGACGATTTCAATTAATCTTAGTAAATTACTGGAATATTGGCATACTAATTCTCCTGCTATATTAAAAGTTACGGCTTCTCGAGCCCGAATAACAAGAGGCGCCTCGATTGAGACCCCCGCAGGCGCATTAAGGGATTTACCATCAACCCGGATATACCCATTATTGGGCTCTACCCACAATTTAGGCCAACTGATTGGAAGACATTTCTCGCGGTAATTGTTAGAACTTATACATTACGATTCTTATTTGAAGGTCAAACCTCAAATGGCATTTTTCATGAATATGGCAAGTGTTATTATTTCTACAGCTGTTTTGTCTACAATAATTTATTATTCATTAAAAAAAACTAGTAAACATTCACTGGCACAGATATTGTACATAAAATATTTTTTTTTATAATATAAATAGATTAATAATGTGGAATACGCCTTAAATAGTGTTTGGTAAATCTTTGCGAAATTAATATATTCTATGTCTAAATTAAACTAAACTATTTCCCATAGCATGTGTTACGCTATAAATTAGTCTCACTTCACAGACTAAATCAATCAGATTAGTACGAGGGGCCGAAAAATATTGGCCTAAATGGCCTCATAATATGTTCCTTGTATCAACTTATTTAAAATACAAGGCACGATCTTTATTATTTTGTTTAGAGTATTCTACAATCACCAACATTCATCCACTATTTGCTTATTGCAAAACTTTCCAGACTTTGGTTAGCGTATTATTTGGTTATTTTTGTGTCAAATAAATGAAAATGAGTAAATACTTAATGTAGAAACTATCAGATTCATGAAATTTCTGTGTTATAATATGATAAATGTTATATATCGAAACGTCACAGTTCATGGTCAGTAGGCATACTTCATTTAAACTGAGGCGAAATTGATTGAACCGAACATCCAACTCGTCGGCGTGATAGTACTTGTTAAACATGTTCTATAGATATGTTTACTATCAAAGAATATTTAAATGTTACCGTTGTCTCTTTTGACAAACCAAAGCTTTGTGTTACAAGTGGTACGTATAGAACATTAGCGAGGGTTGATTCGGTCTCTTTAGGACACACCCTCCCTCTAAAACGGTGCGAATCACCTCATTACACTTCAGGTACATCTTACATATCCTTACGTTCACATATTATACGACACAACAAACATAAATTCGGCCAAAAAAGTTATATGGTACTCTTCAGAACACCCATAGTCATAATAATTGAAAATAACGTTTATTGCTCTCGTTACAGCACTTAATGGTCATACTTAAAAACAAGCTAACATTGTACTTTATACCAACATCAACTCGTTAATTCTAACTCTTATCTGAGATTTTTAAATGTGCTATATACTTCTGTATTAGTAATTCTTGACCTCTATAATAACAACAAGAAAGAGTTCCATTTATTTTTTCAAGACCAATATAGTTAGAAAAAGATTAGACGTTATAGGACCCATGATATAGTAGACTGACGGCCACTTGTATTGTTGCCAGCATTGTGCGATAAAAATAAAATATTTATATAACAATAAAATAACTTACGTAAATTTACACCGGGTAAAATGTTGTAAGTACGAGTATATAAAAATTCTAGGAATTGTAGTTTTTTTGTGCAAATTGCATGTTTTAAAGTTTTTAAAATAATGCACTTGGAAAATAAAACTGAAATATTACAATTTTTACACCATCTTCATTGTAGTTAGATTTTGTTTTTATGGAAGTACACTAGCAGTATCATTAAGTGAGAATCTTGGTGGAGATCCCACTTACGGACCTAACTTTTTCAAAGTTACGACAATACCAAAAGCAACTCGTAAAGTGGTTTGTGTAATTTGTGAATTTATAAATACTGAGATTTCTTGGAATTAAGGCACTTTTTATGTTGTAGGCGTACTTGTTTTTCCATAAAGAAAATGCGCCAATCGTAAGTCGTGCCAGTATCTGTTAGACTGTCTAGACTAAAATACGGTACCTATAGGAAAACGAGGAAAACATTTGTTATTTGATTGTGACAAAGTTAGGTTACATGTAGATTAATAAAACGTGGGTTGCCTAGTTAAATCTGGGGCATTCCCCTGATTATAGCTAGGTTACCTCATTTAATAGCTACTTAATAGCACTTGACAAAATGTAGTTCCTATAAACTGCTAAATAGGTATTTTTTATCAGCTGTGCAATATAAAATTACATAATGTTATCGTTAACTGACCGTTCGTTAACCACTGGTTATCATATCTTTAGTTCCTCAACATCGTTTGAAGATTTCATTTTACAATGTCAAATTATGCCTTATGCTACTACATATCAAGTTTATCTTTCGTTATGTATGGTGAACTTGCGTGATTTGTATTCACCTAAAAAAAAACTTCAACTCCTTTCTGGTTCCGCATTGCACCAAATATCCTCTCACGAACATAGAAGTCAATAATGTTAAATTACTCTTTGTAATAATATTTTTCATGCGAACGATTATCTTAAAATAAGTGAAGAAAATTGAAATTTACATTTTTTCATCCGTTTAAGGCTTTTTATGGATTTATTCATTAATCAAGTTTTTAATATAAACATATAAATTATCTTTGTATCAGGCGAATATAAATTGAATGAAAATATTACCTACTGTATAAATAAAAACTATTGGTGCGAACTTCCGTACCTGCAAGTATTCACTAAAGTCTAAATTTATGTCATGTTACATGCCAATAAAATATTGTGTTGCCACTAGGTCTTTCGCAGTCTGGTTGACTACAAAAATAACTTCTTAGCCGGCTACAATATTTCTTTTCACTTATGAACTAGGTAATTCTATTTTAGAATATTCTTCCACTATCTAAAGACTAAATTATTAAATTCTAAGTTCTTACACGTGGAACTAATTACAGGTAAATATTTATAAATGGCTTACTATTAGAACCACGTAAAACTTCGAATGACGCCTACTAAGTTACCACCTACACACATTCAACTACATACTTAACACTCGCCACTGAAAATAAATTTGCTTCTCAGTCAGCTCTGCTGTGCTTTTCTGTTATTAGTTTTATGCAAATGTCGAACGACATGAATATTCACAACCTACTATCTCATATTCAAGGTCAAAGCTAATACAACATCCCGTTCTCATTTATATGTATATTAGAAGAACTTGCACCTTTTTACCTTAATTGAAATCTATTATTTTAGAACGATTACCAATACAAATGCAAATTTTACTCTGCAGAAAAATGAGGTAACCATTTTTTCTTACTAATATAGTTTATTTTTCTATGTTCCAGCCCATGGATGGTCGTGTCCCACCGGAGATGATGCAACAGAACAATAATACTCCTAGTTACCAATTGGTAATGAATCAGAAGACATCACCGCATCGTATCTTAAACTGTAATACTTTACCAATACCCGTCATTAATATTCATACAGTGTCAAACTCAAAAGTAGCCATGCTTCCCAACAACTCGATACAAAATTCCGCAATCGATACACACATGACGAGTAACATATCATGTCCTCTTAGTGTTAACGTGAACAGTCCGATCTATTCCTTGCCGTCCAGTCCTAACAATTCAATTTACAGTCCTGCCATTAGCCCAGCACAGAGAGATTTAGGCCTTAGTCCTTATTCAACTCCGCAATCCCTCTCTCCGATCGGTAAGTTCAACCAGATTTATAGCCCAAGTAAGTTGGTGTCGCCAGGTGGCGTGCTTAATGGAGGCGATCCCTACCTGTCGAACAAGGTGCAGACCAGTCCAGGGTTCCCTTATCAAGCGAGAGATTTGCTCCTCGACTCTAACGTGTCAATATCATCCCCAGACTTTTGGACGGACGCCGACATTTTGTCTGGCACAAATGATCTGCTCACAGCATTCGACGACGTTAAACTGTGAGTCTGATCGGATAAGATTTCTCTGTGTCTGTTGGAAGTTGGAAAGAATTACATTTATGACAAGTTAAACCGCCCGATCAAATGCTTTTTTTATCTTGAAGCTTACATTCCAATAGGAACACAGGGATAAGCAGAAAAGCATCTGCAACACAAATCACTCCAACGAATGCAATGTCTGAAAATAAATCAGATTTACTAAACAACAGGATTTCACTCATACGTATAAACCACTAAGGTATAAAAAAGCGATTCGAATGCCGAAGTGGGGTAATGATAGAGTTACCTTATGTTACATAACAGAGTCGCTCCCGTTAATTATTTAATTATACATTAATAATAAACATAAGCTTAAACATATATTAACTTTGAATAAGGAATAGGTCCATTGTAATTTGTTAAAATTTCTTATGAGTTTCTATAATCTCAATAACTACCGAACGTATCGTTTTATAATTCAATAATGTTTACAATTTTCTATAATACCTATATATTTTGAACAATTTTAATGTATCTGTTTACAAACTTCATTCGAGCTTCACTTCTGATCTTATGAGGTCTGGTCTTATATTATTATGTTAGTTCAATCACAATATAGTATTTACTTTGAAGTTTACTTTGAAAATATTGATGTTTCTATTTAGAGTGACATACATAAAATTTTGTATTTATAAATTATTTTTGTAATGCATTTTAACACTGAAATAAATATAATGAACTGAAATCCACAGAAAGAATAAGGGTGATGGAACGATGTGACTTAGAGAATAATATTATTATAAGGAAATAATTAGGTTATATAGAATATATAATATTATTACACAATAACAGCAAATATATTACGACTGGGTATATGTATACTAGGTATTATATAAGAAACATAATCAAAATGAACATAATTGTTATAGATTTTGTATGATAATGAAAAAAGGATCGATTTATAATTTTTTTTTGTTTCTCTGCCTAGTCTATATAGCACACCAACCCAACAATGAAAATTGGCAGTTTCATTTATGTAAAAAATGTTTCAGAATATAATTATCAAAAGAATCATTTGAATGTTACGTATTATGTTTATATAGTATATAAATGAATTAAATTATATTTTAAGTTATGTAGTTAAATATATTGAGAGTAATGGGTTAATTAAGTAGTTCTTGTTTAAATTTTATGAACAAAAATATATACTCATTTAGAGCGTAAGTATGTATGTATGCAATTAATTTTTCTTATAAAATGTATTTTTTTTTATGTTAAACACTGCCTGAAACTACTTATCTATATCCTTTATAAAGAATGATGCTATTAATTATAATTGTTTTGCATTTTTAAATGTTAGTACATTACATTAACTCTAGAACAGAATAACAACCAACTACTCTGAGAACTAATTATGAGTATTTTAAAATCCCTGAAAGATTACTTTATTCGTATTAAAATAAAATTATTAGTCTATTAATCATCATGATACCATTCTCGAATAAATGTATTTTCTTTTTTATTTATGAGCATGTCTTTACTCTTGTGTTTATAAGTAAGGGAGGATTCCCTGTCACGTTCACGTACACATTAAGTACAAACCTTTTTTTAGTGCCTAAGTATCTATCACAATAAATACTACTTCTATAATGCAATTATATATGATCTTCAGTAATACACCAAAATAGGTATATTTAATTATAGTTATAACTTCAGTTGTTCCAAAATCAATTAAATGTAGGACAGTTTTTTTCACTGAGTGAATTGATGGCGCTAATGATGTGATGTGTTGTTTTAATCGAATTGTATATCAATAATGTTTTTGATTGTTTTTATTTTTTTAATTACCTATATTAGATTTAATTAAATTATAATACAACATAATAACAGAATTTATATAAACAGTGTTTAGAAAACTGTAAGGAACCAAAATATATAATTAATTAAAATAAAGTAATTAAAGTTATAAGTGCAATATCCAAAACATTACTTAATAACACTAGCGCCATCTCTTGGCAATCAATACAAATGATTCGAGAGGTACAGTCAACTGCACTTAAAACAATTTTTAAAATTTCCACTCTCGATTTTAAACCATAATTTGTAGAGAATAGAGCTCAAAAGTCCAATTTAGAAATTGGACATAATGTGACAACTTGACGTGCAGCCGTATGTACTATACTAAAACAATGTTAGCACTTTGTGAAGTGCATATAATACTTTCATCGTTTATGATCTATAGATGATTTTAAAAACATCCTTAAATGAAATTATACTAAATATCTTTGTTTCCGCATGGAACATGAAAAGATTACATTTATATTATTATATTAGGATACGGTTATTTTCTAAAATTACACATTGAAAATATTGCAAAAGAAACAAATAATATTGTATTAATTAAGTTATTATAATGTTAAGCATAGGTATTATTTAATAAATAATGTATGTATTGTTATTAGGTGAGCAGCAACCGAAACAGGGAGATTGTTTATTAGAAGTAGACTGAATCATAGTAATATGCCTAATTTGAGTTAAAAGTTGCTGGTTACCTATCATATTTATAGGTTACAATATAATCCAAAAACTACTGCCAATTTTCACAAAAGCACTTACCAATTTAATAAAAAAATATGATAATTTGTTTCTTTTTCAATAACTGAAGTCTTGAAGGCTTGTGCCATAGTTATACAAAATTAATTGTATAATATTTATGAAGATTTTCTTATATATTTGGATTTAAAGATAGTTTCATGTATAATCAGAAATCTTTCGGACTAACGTAACACCATAATGAGAATTTTTATATTTGGAGTTATATTTTATATGTTATACCTAATATGTAAATAGTCGATCTACTGAATCAGATTGTTTTAAATATTATTTAGATATGATTAAATTCTGCAATTTTTATATTATTGTTTTATTCCTACACTAATAATGCTGGCAATTCTAATGGACTGTTCCATTATCAAAGCACCGGGCCAGCTAGAATGGCCACCCTACTAAAGCAGCTAGTACTTAAGAGAATGAGCACTAACGAAGACATCCGCGACCATTTAAATAACTTTATGGACATAGTAGATAAACTCGAGGTCATGGACATCAAAATCCCAAAGGAACTGCTCAGTGTCATGATTTTATACAGCTTGCCGACTTCTTACGAGAATTTCCGCATCGCAATAGAATCAAGAGATACACTGCCTAATCCTGAAGATTTAAAAGTTAAAATCTTTGAAGAATCACAGGCGAGGAGCAATGCAGAGAAACCAGAGTCCGAAGAGAAAACTGAAGCTTTAATTTCCAAAAGGAAGAAGTTCTGTACATTCTGTAAGAAAAACACGCATAGTACGGAATCATGTTGGTCCAACAAGAAACAAGGCAAAACTTTTATGAAAGTTTCAAAGGGCAAAGACAACAAACAACAGAAAAGTTTCAATACTTGTCTAAATTTAAATAATGTAAATATGTCAAAAATGTCATGGTGTTTAGACAGTGGATGCACGTCACATATGACGAATAATAAACAAATATTTTTAAATATTTCCGAAGACAATGGCTCGGTAAAATTAGCTTCAAATGACCACTCGACACCCGTCAGAGGAAAAGGCACGGTACAAGTAAGTCTGAACGAATACTCATGCAAATTACATGAAACTCTTTATGTGCCAAATCTCTCGACAAACTTACTTTCAATTGGGAAGATCACGGACAGAGACAATAAAGTTGTGTTCGAGAAAGATAAAGCTTATGTTGTTGAACCTAACGGTGACATATCACTAAAAGCAAAGAGAAAGGATGGCTTATACTACATATGTTGTGAATCCGAAGATATAGCAAAGTCAGTAGCTGTCGAATCAGAGATGATGATGTGGCATAAGAAGCTAGGCCACATTAATGAGAGAGACCTAAAACAAATGGCTAAAGACAAGAAGTTAAGAGGACTTATTTTTAAGGAAGATAAACTCGATACCTGCGAATCATGCATCAAAGGTAAAATGACACGATTACCATTTCCCAAAAATGATTCTATAAATAGCAATCAACCATTAGAAATCATTCATACTGATGTCTGTGGCCCATTCGAAATAGAAACTTTGGCCGGGTCAAAGTATTACGTCTCATTCATCGACGATTATACAAGATACAGCTACGTCTACTTTATGAAGAACAAAAATGAAGTGTTCCGACTATTCAAAGAATTTAAAGACGAAGTGGAGAATTTTCACAAACTTAAAATACAGAATCTACAATCTGACAACGGCACTGAATACAGAAACAAAGAGTTCGATCAGTATTTAAGGGAGAACGGGATAAAGCGACGACTTACCGCACCTTACACACCCCAACAAAACGGTGTTGCTGAACGCAAGAACAGGTCTTTATTAGACAAAGCTCGTTGTTTGATGATAGATTCAAACGCGCCCAAGATTCTTTGGGCCGAAGCTGTAAATACTGTAAATTACCTTGTAAATAGAAGTCCAACCAAACTACTAAAAGGTAGTATACCATATGAGATGTGGGTAGGCAGACCAGCATCAGGGAATCATCTCCATGTATTTGGAAGCAAAGCTTTTGTCCTCAAAAAGACACGCCGTGGAAAGCTAACTCCTAAATCTATCAAAGGTGTATTTATGGGCTATGCGTCAAATGCAAAAAGTTATCGGATATTCATACCAGAGAAAAATGATATAATGATAAGCAGAGACGTGAAGGTAATAAATGAAATGTATTACGAAAGCAAAAATGATACTTATGAAAGTCTTATTGAAAATGAAAATAAAAAAAAAGATAGCAAAGCAGAAGTCACAAATATACAATTCGAAACAAGAATGAATGATGACTTAACTGTACAGCAACTTGATATTACAGATGTTGTAAATAACCCTAATCCAGATGTAAATACAGATGAAAATGAGATACATCCGGTTGTACGACCTCAAAGAGAACGAAGACCGCCAATACGGTTGAATGACTATGTACAAATTAATGATAATGATTGTGAAATTGATGAATATTATGACACAAACATAGCAAAACAATCACACAAATGTGAAGATGGTGATGACGAAGATTACCATGATGCTATAAAATCTGAAATCAGAGCGCATATCAAAAATGGTACATGGCGGATAGTTCCTAAAGAGAAAGATACGAGACTAATCGGATACAAAATTATTTTAAAAAAGAAAATTGGCCCACACAATGAAATTAAAAAGGCCAGACTAGTCGCACAAGGCTTTACCCAAAAACCTGGGATAGACTATAATGAAACTTTTGCACCAGTTGTAAAATTGAGTTCCATAAGAACAGTTGTAGGAATGGCATTAGAAGAAGACTTACATTTATGTCAAATGGATGTAACTACAGCATATTTAAATGGTGACCTAGATGAAAGAATTACAATGAAAGTTCCAGAATATCTAGAAGAATATGTATCAGAGGTGATGATAGATGAAATAGATAAAGAAGATCTGACTGTATATAATAAAGCTAGAAAAATGCTCGAAGATCTGAAAGGTATAAAAGGTGACAAAGCCTGTTTACTAGAAAGAGCGCTATATGGATTAAAGCAGTCAGGACGTCAGTGGTTTAAAAGACTAGACACTGAACTTAGAAAGATTGGCTTCGAAACTTCATCTGCTGATCCATGTCTGTACATATCAATTAAAGGAGGAGATAAAACAGTCATTACAATCTACGTAGATGACATTTTGATGGCTTACTCAAATCCTGAAACCGCTAAACATATAAAAAGGTTGTTGTCAAAACAGTTTGAGTTAAAAGATATGGGCAAACCCAAAAGACTCCTCGGAATTGATTTCATATACAATGACGAAGGTATCAAACTATGCCAAGAGGCATATATTGAGAAAACACTCAAAATATTTGGCATGGCTGAATGCAAAGTATCAAAGACGCCAATAGAACCTGGTATCTGTCTCATGAAGAATCCCAAGAAAGAGGGGGATAACCTACCGTATAAAAATCTAATCGGTAAACTTATGTATCTTGCAATTGCTACAAGACCAGATATAATGTTTGCGGTCAGTTATCTATCGCAATACAATGATTGTTACGGAGAGGAGCATTTTAAATGTGCCAAAAGAGTACTAAGGTACTTAAAAGGGACTAAGTGCATGGGACTGCAATACCAAAAGACGAATATAGATTTGTTCGGAATGGCCGACGCCGATTGGGCTGCTTGCAAAGAAGATAGGAAATCCTTTTCAGGATATATTTTTAAATACGCGGGAGCAGCAATCAGCTGGGCATCTCGAAAACAGCGTGCAGTAGCACTATCTACGGCTGAAGCTGAATATGTCTCATTAACGGAAGCTGCTAAAGAGGCAATTCACTTGGATTTAATTCACAAAAGCTTGTATTTACGGCAAGAGAAACCCATAACAATACATTGTGATAATCAAGCAGCCATAAAACTTGGAACAAATCCAATGGTAAGCTCGAAATCGAAGCACATTGATATGAAGGTTCATTTTATAAGAGACTGTGTTTCCGAGAAGAAGATTGAGCTTAAATTCATAAGGACTGAAGAAAACGAAGCTGACCCTTTAACCAAAGGTTTACCAGGGCCGAGAATTTTCCGTCTGAGAGCGATGATTGGGCTCAGTGAATAAAAGCCATAGGAGGAGAAACTATCCTCTATCCTGCTTTCTGAGGAGGAGTGTTGGTAGTCAGCAAGAAAGGCACGATATTCGACCTCCGTAGATCATCGCTAATACCATAGTGTAGCTTTGAATTGAAAACGTCTGTCGATTTGTGGTGTCATTAAATTAAAATATGAATATTTATACTTATATAATAAAACGTTATTAGTTCATAGAAACCGCTGTTTAATCTCCCTCTAACAGCAGTACTTGTTTAAAACATTGCTTATACAGATTTTCAAATTTAGAACATTGATTAAAGCTTAAAGTCTTCAAGCTTTTGATGGTCGTTTTGCACAAAAAGGGTGTAAAAGTCTATTCTGCCTGAAATCCCAAAAAAGAAATACCTATATGTAGTCTTAGCGCGCGGTTTCATTTACGATTACACCTAAATTACGTACAGTGCCTTACTAATGGCTCATTTACATTATGACAGAAATGCCCATGTAATCACAACCAACATGTGATTACATGGGAATTTCTGTTTATATAAAATATCACTGATGTGTCCCAAACTGACAGTTAAATGCTGTCCTAGTTGTGGCCCTGCCGAGCTGACTGGCCTGGCATTGCCACAGATAGCTAGACCTTTTTCATTTTAGCAGTATCACAAAGACTAATCTCCGTTACGAACTACGTGACGTGACTCGATAGGTAGCTCATACCTATTTCGTGACGAACTAATAAATTAGACACTTGATTTATTTAAGCAGGTAGTATAAAAAAATAGTTTTCGAAATCAACTTTTTTCTTATTTTGAAGAACCGTTGATATTCAATCGTAGTTTTTATCCAATCATATTCTCTATAATAAATTATTAATGAGGAAGTGATAGAAAAAAAATTTTCAAAACTCAATAAACAACTCATATTTTATTTGTAATTTTCGTATTTTTATTGATATCTAAGTTTAGAACTTTCAAATTTCAGTTTTTTAATATGTTAGTTAAAAGGAACGGAAATTACCGACTTTGGTCCATTCGGTTCCTACAAAAATCAACTTTTGCTAGAGTCGCCATCTAGTGGAGGTGCTTTTTTAATACTTCCTCATTCATTCATAATAGACTAAAGAAATCAGTGTCAAAACTCTCTCAGAACAATAACTAATAATGTTCCGTGGTTCGAGGTGGTGGTGGTGGTGGTCCGAGGAAATTCCTTCAATGTCTATAATGATAAGTGCCGAACAGTCACAGCCATGCACAGCGCAGTGCTTCTATCTTACGTATGATATTCAATGTCAGTAAATGTTACTAGAGGGCGTAAATAATATTAAAAATAAAGTTATTGAACATTGAACCTGTAAGTAAATCATAATATTATAATATATTCTTAATGAAAAAAGTTTAAAAATTCACTTTTTCCCTGACACTGTGGATTTTTAAGCATTTTTCATTAAGAATATATATAACATTATGAATGCAAAATTGATCAAATATAATAAATAATCCAATATTTTTAGAATTGACATTAGATATAGAATTCTATTTCATTTTGTGTAATACAAAATGTAAAAAAGTGGTGACATCTATTAAATGTCTCTAAAAACCTAAAATTTAAATGAACTTCAGAAGTTGCACTATCACCGTATAATAAATAAACTATGGCATTATGCTCTGTGGCGATGCTATGACAGGTAACAATGGAGTGCTGCCAGTTTTATAGCTTCTTCACAACTTTAGGGTAAAATTTATGGGGCATATTAGACTCGTTCGAACGCCATATACAATTTGACAAGTTTCTTTAGTTTAAATAATATTACTATATTTTTCTTATTCATGTATTGCTATTTTATTACAAAAAGTAAGTTATGTATTATTTGATGATAGAACGATTTAGTTTCCAAATGTTTCGTAAGTGCAGACGCACGGCAAAAAATGACACTTAATGCATTAACGTTATTTTGGATACAGCTACAAAATAACATTAATGCAATAGTATATGTTAAATTGTTTTAATTTTAACACTTTATCACGCGCTTGAGCTAAAAAGGTGATAAGGTTGTGGACGGCAATATTGTTAACAATTAGGGCGCTTGTGCACTACACTGAATTTTCAGGTCCGGCGGTCCGATTTTTTCCGGTCCGGAATGACATGAAAAATCCGGATCAGTAGCTTGTGCACTTGTCCGTTTTTTTCCGGATCGGAACAATGCAGTTTAGGGCAGCTCTTGCTGAAGCTACACGTCTTTTACGCTAGATACAATGAGATTTTTAGAACGTCAGCAATTGCTTGCGTTATTACTCTACGTGCGAAGACGTAGAAGACAGAAAAAATATTGGGTTCATCCCCTTATTAGTGAAAGGTACCTGACAGGGTCATTTTACATAAACCACAATAAAATGAGGCAGGACGAAAGCATTTTTTAACTACTATCGGATGTCTACTGTTACTTATGATTTTTTGCTATACCGTTTAAGCACATACATCAAGAGGCAAGATACAAAATTAAGGCTGTGTGTACCACCAAATGAAATGCTTGCTGTAACCTTGAGGCATGTACAGTGTTTAAAGAGGGAATAAGTTAGTTGATTGAGTTAATTATTCAGCTAGTAAGGGCGAGTGAGGGAGTGAGTAAACCATGTATAATAACAATGCTGTCTACGGTGATATAATAAATATACCTATAAGATTTTTGGGTCTTATTCCTTCGTATTATTAGAACTCTACTGTTTACTCCACCTGTGAACACCGACTTCAGTGAGATACTTACGGCGGGTATTCATTTACCAACATTTGTTGATTGTTGCAAAAGTCGACAGATGTGGACGTATATTGCGGGAGTTTATAAACATGAAAATAGTGTCCTCCAACATTTTAGTTTTGATGAACAAATGTTGCCAAATGAATACCCGGCTTCACAATGTACGTACGCGACACGTAAGTTGAATCAAAGTGACGAGTGCGCCGCCGAAGTACATTTTCGCTGAATCCCGGATTGATCTCTCAATATAAAGCCCTGAATGTTCAGGGCTTGTAGCATAATGTACGGTCCTGAATATTTAGGGCTTTATTTTAGTCAGCGTCTCAATTCTGCAAATGTTAGCGTAGTTATAGTGCAATAATGGCGTGACGGTTGCGTTTTTAATCAACTTTATTCACGCA